GAAGGGAAAAAGATTAAAGACAAATTACAAAAAAAAAAAAGTCCATATTGAAAAAAAAAATTTGAACACACTGCAAATATCACAAATCTTCTGAAAACACAGCCAAAAAAACCTAAACACATTTAAAACCGGGGGAACACCATGCAAAATATGGGAAAAACTATGGGAAATACACATATACATGGCTTCAGCTATTTATCTAGGATCCATAACATATTGGCACCTTGGACTAACAGAGAAGAGAATGTCAGCCAGAGACAGAGTAAGTCAGACCCGGATCAAATGACAGAAATAATTGCTTTGCATCAATTTAGCATTCATACTCCGTTTTGAATATTTTGTGATTAAGAAGTAAGCATTAAGAAGTAATTAGATCCAGTATTCTGACTTAGTTAATACAACCATTGAAAGAAAAACAAAGATTTAGTCCTACTATTACTAGAAAAGCCTGAAAACCCAAGATGATATATACAACATCAAAAAACCTGTCTTTGAAACAGCTTCAACAAGGATCCAACAAGCCCTTCAAGCAATGAGGTGCTCATAAAATATTGCAAGCATTATTTCTCACATAAACTTGTTAGCTTTATGCCTCGGGCTCCCCACATTTGTTAGGCATTTTCTTGGAAAGAGTGAATTAGGAGTTACACTCCAGAAGTCTCTTGGGTACAGTAACACCAATGTCTAATAATCTTTAGGGTACAGAAAGTTATGCAGCCGCTGCTATATTGCTAAAAATACCCATGTCTGTTGCTCTAATTAATCCTAATTTCTTTAGTCAATTTTCTGAGGCTTGCTTAAAAACTGAGTTGCAGAACAATTAGGAGTAATTACCCTGCGGCCCCTAAGGAAACGGGACTGTAAAACCCAAGTGCCCACCGGCATACGAAGTGCAGCAAATTACAGTAACGGGGTGGAAAACAGGATTAACAAGGTATTTGTGTTGAACGGGTAATGCACGAGTTAACGTTACGGACGTATATGTAAGACCTTATATGCACTTGGCTATATCTGCTTTCACCGGACGGGTTGGTTATATCCACGGCAAGTTTCTTCCACCCTTCCTGCGGGTCGATGAACTCTGCCAGCCGCCTCAAGAGCCCGTAGCTCAGGCAGCGGACGTACGTGGAATTCGTCACGGGCTCGCCCATCCTCCGCTCCTGGTGGGACACAGGGGTTACCCGTGCGGTTGGCCGGGAAGCGGACGCCCAGCGGGGCGCCACAGCCTACCCCGACCTCACGGCTCCGACAGCCGCCCCCCGGCCCGGCCACCCCCGGCGGCGCAGCTCCCGCCCACCATTCCCGGCTGCGAGCGCCCCCTGCACCCCGCAGCGGGGGCCTCCCGGAGTCCCCTCACGCCTCACCGTCGCTTCCGGGCCACGGCGCCCGCGAATCCCCAGCCCATGCGCCCCGCCTCCCACCGGGCGTTACCGCAGCTCCGCTTCCCCGCCCCAATTTTAAACCTTCCCCTTTAAGGGGGTGGGGCCCAGCCCCCGGTGCCTCTGACGTCACCGGAGCGGTGAGGACACAGCGGAAGCGCTCTCCCACCTGGCCTTCCCATAGGCGGCCGAAAGGGACCCCGCCTCCGGCGCGCCCCATGTCTGGCCGCGAGGGGGGGGGTCGTTGGGCTCTTTGCCTCGTCTTTCCCCCCGGCCCTGGGGAACTTGGTAACGTCCGTGGGCCCTTTTGATGGGAGGAGGCCGTGGCGCCCCCTGGCGGCGGCTTCCGGGGGGCGTGGGGCTCCCTGCTCTCTGTGTCTGTCCCTGCCTCGCTCCCTCCCTGCGTCCCTGCATCCATCCGTCCATCCATCCCTGCCTGCCTGCCTCCCGTCCCGCCTTTCAGCAGCCTGTTTTGTAGCAGCTGATTCTATTCCGCCCCTCTCCCTTTTTCCTTTGCGCCCGCTGCAGGTGCGGCGGGCCTGGCCGGGAGCAGGGCAGGCCGCAGCCATGCTGCCCTCCTTTACTTACGTGACGGAGCACACCGGCTTCCGCGGCACCATCAAAAACTCTCCGAGGGACTTCCTAGTGACAGAGCTCGAGGTGCCCGAACTCTTCCTCAGGGACACCCGGCCTGAATTGCTCCAGAAGAGCAGCGAAGCGCCGCCGGCACAGGGCAGCCCGTGCCCGCGGGAGCCCAAAAAGCGGAGGACGGAGTCCCCCGGCCCGGGTGCCCCCGAGTGCCCCCAGGATGCTGCGCCCGGACCCCCGGGGCGCGGCCCAAGCCCGGCGGCAGGCGCATCCCCCAGCAGAAGTGAGCGTGAGGGAGACCCCGAGCTGCAGTCCGGTCTCGGGGAGGCCCCTGTGCTGGAGTCCTTACTCGGCAAGCCCGTGAGCGAACTGCTTAGCAAATTTGCTTGTGATCTGAAGGATACGTGGGGCTTGGAAAAAAACACTGATGCTGGCACTAGGGAGTTCTCGCTAGGACCCAGGTTGGACAAGAAAATTCGAGCGGATTTACACGGTGCTGTTAGGCAGAAATTCCCGTTTCTAGTCACTGTTACAAAAGACAAAGAAATTATTGTAAAAGAAAATCCTGATTACAGAGAACTTTGTCAGTTAGTGACTGAAAAGGAAACAAGTGATTTCTTTAAATTTTTAGATGCAAAAATAGAAAATTCTACATTTTCCTTTGAGCCTGATGGAAACAAAGAGCACAGAAAAATAGTTCACCACTTTATCAACAGAAAGTTTGGAAAGCTTTTAGAAACAAAATCTTTTACTGTGACAGATGCCAATGATCAGCCAAATATGTCAATAATGGTACGGTTTCGAGAAAAAAATTGGTCCAGAAAAAGGTCTGCTGGTGGTTTTCAGGAGAAGCAAGATGTTTATACAGGTAAATACCTAATTTTTAGTGAAAATGGCAGGTATTATGGTGTTCTGTAGAAAGACTGAAACTGAGGATCATTCTTATATGACACATAGGCCTGGTCAACCCATTGTTTATGTTGAAATAAATCATTACCAGTGCAATGCTGTTACATCCCTGGAGAATGAAATGGAGGAATCAAGTTACTGCAGCAATTTGACATAAACTGCTCACTGGTAGTGGTTATGGTTCTTTTGATTGTAGCCACTAACTAACTCTGGCTTTCCCAGGGTGATAGCTTTCCCTTGAAAGTAATTGTGGGAGTTTAGGAGGTGTATGTAGATATTGAACAAGTTAGTAAGGTTAAATTTAACTCATGATCTCATTCTTTAAAGCAGTTTCTGATACAGAGAATGTTTCTTGAAATACATCCATGAATGTCTGTTGCATTTTACAAGGTAATATTTTTAAGGGCATCACGGTTTTTTGGTTGGTCTGAGTTTTGTGTAATGTTTTTATTTTTTTCCTTCTGTGCTGTAAAAGTCCCATTTGCTTTAGTTTTCAGTTTCTTTACAGTTTACAAGCTATTACAGTTTGAGGGAAAGAAGAACCTGCCCATCTGTCATGGCAGAGCACTGAAACAAAGGCGAGTTCCTAATAATTCTGAGATGATTGTTTCAGCTTTCACCCTTCAGAAAGAAAACCTAGAAACACTAGAAGCAATCAGCTTGTTGGCAGCTGAACTTGATGTTCTTCCTTCAGACTTCAGTTACACTGGCATCAAAGATAAGAAGGCTATCACTTTGCAGCCTATGGTTGTGAAGAAGGTGACTCCTGAGAGGTACTTGGAATCTGGGTACAAGCAGTTCAGCACCTAGGTTTTGGTATTAATAAGTATCAAAACGGTATGATCTCTTGAAATGTTCTTGATGTGTTTTCCCCTTGGCTGTATAGAGCACAGTGGAAATTGCTTTAATCTTTTGTGGCTTTAGGAAATAACCAACTTACCACTCAAGTCAATGGTAAAACTCCACTGGAAACTGGAGGCCAGTTGTCCAAGAGATAATTAGCAAAACTTCACGTTAGTGTTTAAATGATGAAGAAAAATAGGTAAATGCATCCACACAGCAGGATAAATAAATATTTTTTATAAATAAAGAGTTTATGAAGTTACTAAAATACTGCTTAGAATTCAAGCTCTTATGCTGAAATTTTCCTTTGATTTGAATGGCTGTTACTTACACATAAGAACAAGAGATTGAGTGGATATTTTAAAGGATAAATATTTGAACTGTCAGCTGTGTTTCCAATTACTAGCATGTGTGAGCACACACAAAGAATCAGCACGTTGAATTGTTTATGTTAAAGATGACTGAGAAAGAGCAATTGTGTTTTGGAGTCTGCTACAGCACATTACCTTTTCTTTGCCTTTCTCTTTAATGAAAAACAGGTTTTGAGGAGTGAAGAGTAAGAAAATGACTAGTTTTTCATGTTAAAAAATTAAAAATTCAGTGCAGTTACTCTGAGAAAGTTTGATCAATTGCTTTATTCCAGCATCTGTCAATATAATAAAAATGCCAATGATGCAAATATTTATAAAGTATTTCTGGATTATAACTAAATTTTAAGACTTCTATCTCTGCATTTGATTTGGTTTTCTCATAATAATTGTTTTACAACCCATTTTTTTTTTTAAGTATTTTTGGTATCAGTGCAAAGGTGAAAAAGACATTCATTACGAGTTGTATAGCTTTAGTAGAGGATGGTTTATAATTTTTCCTAATTATTTATTCAGCTTGAAGGAAATTGGAAACAAAATGGAAAAAAGGGGTATGAAAATATACAACATCCGTCCAGCATGCCAGCACCTCAGACTTGGTCAGCTGAAGGGCAATCACTTTGACATAGTTGTGAGAGATCTCCAACACCACAGTCATGACTCTTCTGCAGATCTGAAGGAGAGAATATCTGAAGCAATGGAAAGTGTTGAGGTAAGAAAGGCTCATGGTTGCTGATAATGAGTTATTTGCTGTTATAAAAAATACTTCTAAGGAAAATGCCTGAAATAGCACAATAATGGCAATATTTTCCATGTTTGGTGCTTTTTGCATTTTCTGTCCTTCCTGCATTTTTTAGGGAGTCAGGAATAAAATTACCTTCCAAGAAGGGACTACAAGTGAATTTATTCTGTGTTACAGACTGGAGACCCCAGCGTGGGGCAGCAAAAGACAAGGGGAATTCAATAACAAATGAATATGGATATAAGAGGGATTGCTGCACCCAAAGTGATGGGTCTCACTGTGGCAGATGAAGGGGGAAACAATGTACTTACACACCCATATAATGCGTATGTGATATGTGTATATACACACATATGCTCAGTGCATATGACAGCTGGTTGCCTTTTTTGGTTATGTGAGGAACATGCATGGTTGTCTTGAATGAAAAACTTTAATGGTATGAACATATGTGGAATGTCCATCTCCAAGAAGGATTCCCCTGAAATGCAGTGGATTTTGGCTCTGTTTTCTGTAGTCCCTGAAGGAAACTCTGATCATCAGACATTCGTAAACCATTAAGAAAAATAAAAGAAAATAATGGAAGGGAAAACCAGTAGATGTTTTTTACAGTATTTATTTTCTTGTCCTATCTTTCAAAATAATGACTATAATATAAATTGCTTTAAGAAGATTAATCCAGGAATAAAATCTTGAATGAAAGCTATCCAGTGTGAAAAAGCAAAATACATTACATATACTTTGGAAATTAATTTTATTATTGAGGAAAGCATTCAGCTGGTACTATAATGCTTTCTTCACTCCATCTTATTTGTTTTATTTTGCTGTTTGGAAAATAAACACAAATTCCTATGATTGTGTGTCTTGCTTTATTAGATTTACGTTGCTGGTCAGAAGATGAATGACAAAACAGGATATGTATTAATCCAAAATATGCATTTTTCATCTTCTGTGATAGCAAAATTGTGTATGGGACCTATAGGTGTCCCAAGCAAGATTATAAAATTTGAACTTAATAACCATTTGCAAAACAAGTATATGATTTTGTTTGTCTGCTCCATGTATACTTACTGTTTTGTGGAAAAAGGTGTTCTCCTTAGATCCCATGACTGTGATTTTACTTCTCACATGTGACCTTGAACTCATCAGATTTAAAATCCCAATTCAAAGAAGTGTTCGCCTTTGACCTTTATATTGCAATAACAACAGAAATTATCTCATGTGAAAAAGATTAGTGTTTTCAAGAAAAAATGTCCAGTTCATTAGCTGTGCTGCATTTGCTTGAGTAGAGATTCCATAATCTGACACATTTAAAAAGCTTAATTATTTGACATGACCTATAATTGTAATTATGATAATTAACTATATAGAAATAATTTTGTTTCATTTACCTGGGATCTTTCTAATGATGTGAAGACAATGGTAGAACTTGATAGTCTTTTTAGACATCTTTTTAGTGCCAGAATTTTGCAGTGATGTATCAGTATTTCTTTTGTTTCATATAACTTCTGATTCTGGTTTTATGCATTTTGGATGTAAATATAGATGTGTATTGTGTGTTGTATGCCCTGTCTTATTAATCGTGTGCAGTACTTTCATGCATGTAACATGTTTATTCTTTCTCATTCTAGATAAAAGGTTTTGTGAATTACTATGGACCTCAGCGATTTGGGCAAGGACAAATTGTTCAGACAGATCAAATAGGACTGGCTTTACTGAATGAAAAAATGGTATTTCCATTTTCTAATTTGAGTACTTATTGTCAAAAGAATTTCATATTACTGTTGCAATATCTAGAACTGGAGTTGACCTTCTGAGTGAATAATTTCATTTGTGAGATAAATTCATCTGTGTGCTGGAGCAATTGCTAGATCATTTTTGATAACATAAGCATGAAGATATTCATACGGAAACTAAAACCTTTTTTTAAACAGCAAGTGAAGCTTTAAATAGTTCTGGAGTGATAGTTCTGTCTGTGATTGGAATGTGATTGGGATTGTCATCATGCCAGTTGGCAGGAAAGTGGTTGCATTCCATACAGGGTTTGAACACTGAAAAGAGGCAGTCTTCATACAGTGTTTATTCATGGTCCTGATTGCCTCTGAACTGTAGCTTCTTTATCCTGCTGGGGGTCTATTTATTCTTAAGAATGTCGCATAAGCTCATAAGAAAGGATTTGCTTTTTCAATACTGCGGTAATTTATCTGCTGTATAGAAGAGATTGCTGCTTTCCATTATTCCTTGACTACTTTCCCAAGCTCTCAGTTCTGAGCTTATTAAGTAATAATTAATAAGATAAATGTACTTTTCAGTGTATGTGATACAGTGTTTGGCACAGGTAAAACACTAATCAGACACTACAAAGTCAAAAAGATAGAAGAAAAGGATACTCAAGTAATCTTGTTTTGATTCTGAGAAAAATCAGGAAAACTTATCTTTCAAATACAAGATCCAAGATTAGAGGGCAGCCCATGAAAGTTGCTGTTGATGTATCTGACATCAGATAGCAGTTGGACCAGATGCCAGTCCCTGAGGAGTAATGATTTAAATCCTTAGTCTTGACTTAGTTACTTTAATTTAAAATAGGTAGGAACTACTATTCATATTAAAAATGTGCCAGTATGTGCTTGCACAGTCCAACACAGAGGAGGACAAGAGCCAGGTGTCACAGGTTAGTAGAAGTGCTAGCAAACTGAGCAGCTCTTCATATATTGCAAGTAGCAGAGATTACTGTAGTGTTTTCCTTGTCACAGTGTCATCTAACCTAATACAGATTAGTATTAATAAACAAAATAAAAAATAGTTGTGCCTTTGTATAACACAGTGGAAAGTCAGTCTAAATTTTGTATGAAGCATGCAGGATGGAAGGAAGGAGCCTTCCTGTTCAGGATAGAATGATGACAATTTCAGGTGGAGAAGTTTGAGCTGGATGACTAAGAAAGTGATTGGTTTCTCACAGAGCTTTGAAAACTTTCACATTTTCTGGGTGACTAAAACCTCTTTTTAATCTGAGAAGGGACACAATACATTGTTCTGTGATTCAAGGGATCTTCTGTGAAGGGGCAAATTTGATTTTGACTCTAAAGAACTGTTTTAATTTTGAGAGATTGCAGAGTATGTTAAGGCAGAATCAGATGCATGATAACCTGTTTAGCTGAGAAATAGTTGTATTTAACTGAAAACAAAATAAATTGTTCTTTTAAGGTGGAAGCTGTGAAGTTATTTTTCACACCCGAAGATACTGATGATCCTGTAAACAATGCAAAAAGATACTTTCTTCAAACTGGTATGTCCACTTAAATTGTCCATATATTTATGTAGAATCAATATTGTGAGGTAATAAGGTGTTGCTGCACAGGGAGATACTTTTTATTTTCCTCTGCTTTATGCCACTTATACTTGATTCTGTGAAACTCAATAGAGTTGCACATTTAAAAATTGTATGAGGATGAGTCCCTAAATGTGCAAAATAGCGGAAAATGAATGTACTACAGGTGTGAGAAAACAGAGAAGCAAACACTGTGTATCATAATACAAGAGACTAAGATTTATCTGAGGAGTTTTGGCCTACTTCAATTTGTCTGCTTTTGGATAATGAACTTCTCCCTAGTGAGGGAGTATTCAGGAATGCAGCACTCAACACATACTCAGAACTTAACACATCTACTTTCTTTCTTTCTTGAACTAAAATCAGCAAAATAGGTCAAAGGCAGTAGTCTGCCAAGTAGAGTGCTCTGTTTGCCATATTTATTGCTTTTATCATTCAGCTGAGCTTTCTCACCAATTTGAAGTTGCTCTCGACTTCAAATGTATTTTTCTTTTCAAATATTCCACATCTATTAGTCTGCTTATCACTTTAGATTGACATACCAATTATGATATATAGTTTTAAAAGACAAAAGTATGTTTGGTTTCACAAAAAAATATAAGATGAATGATTCTGTTCTGTACATGGCTGTATGATGCATGGAAAAACATTAATGTGAACCCTGAAAGCAGCTGCTTGCCTTTTCTGAAAGCAGACATAGAAGACTGTGTAAAAGGCTTCATCAGGTAATCACTTGTAATATGAAAAGAAAAAACCCATAAAATTTTAAACATACAGCATTTATATAATGTAGTAAAAATCTGATTAAATGCATTTTCATCTTGGTTAAGGGTCAGACTTCCGTGAGGCCAGTGTAATTTTTGCCTTTAAAATAAAGACATGGTTCTTACCTGCTGTGAAATACATATTCTAAAATGATGAGAAGTAGAGATTTAATATTCTTTTATAGCTTGGTTTTTACTTTCAGTTACCTGGTTCAAAAAAACCCCCTTGGAGTATAAAGGAAGTTTCTAAAAAAAAAATTGTTCAAACTAGGCCAAACAACTGAATGATAGCTAGTTTAATTTATAGTGCATGAAACAGAAAAAAATCATGGGTCTGTGTTGATAGGCACACAAGATGAAATTTGTCTAACGTGACACATTGAAGGAAAGGAGATAATCAAAGCATGGAGACATGATTGACAGCTTTTTTCTCTATTTGATTATTTTATCTTTTTAAATGTCAGGTAATACTTGAATAATCAGGGATTACTGACATGGTTATTTTTGTTTATATCAGAAGATGCAAAGGGCACGCTTGTGATGCTGCCAGAATTTAAAGTAAGAGAGAAGATGTTGCTACGAGCTTTAAATCGCTACGGTGTAAATCAGGAAGGTTGTACCAAAGGATGGCTCAACATTCCTCACTCGTTGCGCATATTCTATGTCCATGCTTATTGCAGTAAAATTTGGAATGAAGCGGCATCATATAGGCTGAAGACTTACGGCTCAAAAGTGGTTGAGGGTGATCTTGTCTTCTTGGAAGAAAATGATGAAAGTATTTCCCTGAATGACAAGGTGAGTCTTCTTGTAAAGTAGCTCTTGTAAAAAGAAAAACAGCAACAACAAAAAAAACCCAAACAACTTAATGCACTTGAATCCATAAGCAGACATACTCTAATGCCTTTATTTTGGTTCATTCATTAAAATATTGAATATTTGTGACAAAGTTAAAATACATGATTGTATGATTTTTTTTATTTTTTTTTTTTTTTGTTTCACCATAAATAGACATACAAGCCTTAATCTGTTTTGGCTGTTCATTTTGTTCAAGTGAGAGGAAGGAACAGAAGGTTGGAAATGATACATGTGAAAATTTAGTCTCCATGGTATATAATGTTCTTCTTAGGATCTGACTGGGTAAGACTTTCAGAGTAGACTCTTGAGTGTACCCATATTACTGGTCAGTGCAGATCTGAGTCTTGCTGTCCACATCAGGCTTTCCTAAATACAATGCTGACTGTGAGTTCAATGTGAAAGATGGCCTCGGGCTGAGCTGATAATCCCCATTGCAGCTACAGAGGCAAAACATGTTTAGCACAATTTCACTGGTGCTGGGTCTAAACTGGTAGCAGCTGTTCAAAAAATGCAGCAGCCTTCTTGGTAAGGTAGTAAAGGGCAAGGGGGTGCTTCTGCTTGCCCATAGCTCAGCCTGGGAGCTATGCATGAAGCCATAGGTCAGCCAGTGAGTAGAATCTGGCAGTGAAGTGTCTGGTCCCAGATTCTGACATGCTGAAGTTCATTCTGAAGTGCTCTCTTTTAGGGTTAGCATACCTTATTGTGAAGACAGTTGCCAAGTAGCAAGTGGTAGGACAAGAAGAAATAGCCTCAAGTTGTGCCAGAAAAATTTAGATTGTGTATTAGAAAATATTCTTCACCAAAAGGGTTATTAAGCACTGGAACAGGCTTCACAGAGAAGTGGTTGAGGCACCATCCCTGGAGGTATGTGATAAGGGTTTAGTGGTGGACTTGGCAGTGTTTGCAGCTGGATATCTTTATGTCTATCTTTCTCCTGATCAGATCAATCATAAACTGTGCAGTATTTTACTGGAGAATAAATAGGTGTGTGCAGAGGCAGAATGTAATTAATTTATTTTGGATGAACCTCTTACAAATTTAGGGCAAGAGCATTTGAAAGGTTACCTCCAGTCCCTATGGAGTAGCTTGTGTTTCAACTGAGATTTTTCTTTACCAATATTTTTTAGAGTGAATGTTAATGAAATAATTAGATAAAATAAAATTAAAAGCAGTTGTATTAAATTCAGTATTGAGTTACTGAGTTTTATGTAGATATATTCCTTCTTAATATAAAACATTTTTCTTTGTATTTTTACATTTGCTGATGAAGCACAAGATGGCATTGACTTTGTTAACTTCAGATTCAAAGAATAGTAGTGGTAATGCCATCACCACTGATTAATTTAAAGTAAGCATATCTTAAGATTTTTTTCATACATGAGTTTATTGCCCCTGCAGTAGTCAAATAACCTTAATATTCTTTGCAAGTTAGTGAGTACAGTGCATAATTCCTAAAGGAAAACATATGTTTTTACTTTTTAAAAGGTTGGTGTTTTTTTCTTCTTGAATGTCTTGTCAGGTTCATGTAGTCACTGCTTCAGAAGAATCAGCTAACAAATACTCTATATACCAAGTAAGTCTGTATGAAAAATGCTGAGTTGTTGATCTTTTTATTTGATTAAAATGTTTTGTTTTAAATAATGTGATTAATTTAACTGGTGCAGTCTCCATCCCTGCCAGAATGCTCATCAAAGAAGGTACATGTAAGCTAATTTCCACTCTCATAACAAATTTACTTTGTAGTGGAAATGAGTACAGTGTCATTTGAAGTATGGCAATATTTATCCTGAAGCAGAATAATTCAGGAAAGATTTCAGTCTACTGGGAAAAACTTTCAAAAGCAGTTGACATTCTAATTTTTGAAGGTTTCAGAGTGTAGTTGTGAAGTCTTGCATGGCAACTGACTATATGGCAACTGAATGTCTTTACTGCTGTGTGCTGCTTTGTTTTACGAATCCTGGTACATTGATTATTTTTTTCTGCTTTAATTACATTCAATATACCTGCAATGCACAGCTTCATTTCACAAGAGAATCTGCTGGTTCACTATTTCAGGCCCCAAAACGAAAGGTTCAAATACATTTTAAATGATCACATTTATTTAAAGGGGAATGGGTGAGCATTACCTCAAATATATTTGTTTTTTTCTTTGAAGGTGGTTCTTCCAATGGTGGGACATAGTATCAAGTACCCCAGTAATAAAGTTGGACAATGGTACCATGAAAGGCTTTCTAAGGATGAGCTGGAGTTGTGCAAATTCAGAGTGTCTCCATTACAGCTGAATATACCTGGATGCTACAGACTCATTTTGAAAAATGTTCAGAATCTCTCATATTTTTTGGAAAGTAGTGAAAAAGAGATCAAAACTGAGGACAACCATCTGAATGATTTAAAGCTCTCTCTTCATATATCATTTGACCTTGATCCTTCATGTTATGCAACAGTCTGTCTGAGAGAAATAATGAAATGTGATTTTTAAGATTGCACTTAATGAAAGATTGCAGGAATATTGTACAAAGTTGGTATTTTACATGTAATGCCAAGAACATAAGGGAGAATAACAGGTTTAAGTCATGAACAGGTAAAATTTGTAGATTTTGATTCATACAGATAAGGAAAAAAAATATTGCCAAAATACTTTGGAATATTTCAAAATCATTCCAAACTCTAAATGGATTGAATTAATTGGAGTAAAACTCTTACACCAGGCTGGTCTAATAGAACTTAAAGAAACCATGGGCAGCCGGCATGAATTTCCTGTTTGTGTAGAAATCTGGCTTACAAAAAGCCCTGGGAAAGTATGTGCAGCAAAAAAATGTATCTTGTAATTCATAGTAATTTTATAAATATTTTGTAATAAATGCTATTCAAGCAATAATGTTATAAGTTTACAGCCTAAAAGTTTCTAACTAAAAAGTTGTTGTACTGAGGTTTCCTTAATATATTGTGTTTCGTTGTGTTCAGGTACTTAATGTTAAAAGGTTAAAGTCCTGAGTCAGCAGTGACAAGTTGTTGGTTGCTTTATCAGACATTTGGTGAATGCCTAAAATTAAGTTTATGCTGGTGATTTCAAGATTCAGTAGTGCATAGCTGGGAGTGCCTATTTCAGCACTGACCAAAGGGATATTCCACACCACAGAAGAAGTGTATAAACAAGTATATAAACTGAGGGGAGTCACTTGGAAAAGGAGCTGATCTGGGTTCAGGAAGGGAGGTCTGGCATCAAACTGAGGGTGGTGAGCAAATGCATTGATCAGCACATACTTTTTCCCTTTTTATTATCTTTATTACTATCATTGTTTTGTGGAGGCAGTTAAACTAGGGACCAGAGACCTCTTCTAACCTGGATTGCCTGCAGATGGCAGCATAACTTAAAGTAGGAAAGTCTACTCATTTTTATTGAGCAGGAATTAATAATATAAATTGATTTCTGTTTGTTGCATCAGTTGATAAAATGATTGCATAATTTTTCAGATGATGCTAGCAGCTGAATATGATAAATTTCCCAAGCTTGAGAATGATAGGAATAGGAAAAATAGAAATAAAGCTCACATAATTTCAATGCATGTATAAAACTGTGCAGCAACGAAAGATCCAGATAATTCTATACCTTAAAAAAGAGTATTACTCTGTAAGTCTGTGTCAGTAATTCAAAATTTGATCCTTAGCTTTTATATGAGGAATTAGACTGTAATGCACACAATAGCTACAAAGCCACTGCAGGTGTCTTATAATGCTTATTCTATTACAGTGCTTACTCCACATATTACATTTATGTTATACAGGCAAAATGATAGAAAAAATCCATTTCCCTGCCGTGACCCAACTGAGTCAACTTTCTTCTGTCTTTGCTTTTCAGTATCACTTCTGTCTTCTACCTGCCCTTAAAAATCCCCCCATTTTAGAAAATTATTTTTAACTTAAGTAATTTTGGTACAGCACAGTTCAAAAAGAGTTGTCACATCAGTATAGGCATGGTAAAGTGCTCCAGTGCAGACAGGAAGCTGCATGCAGTTACAATGAGCAGACGAAATAAACTAACACTAAAGTTCTATTTAAGGAGACTATTGTGGTCATCGTTCATGTGGATGAAACGAACCTTGAAAACCATCTGATCGCATACACGATTTGAATACAGAAAGTATTAAAAGTTGAGCATTGATTTGGAAAAACACAAAAGGTCAGCTTTAAAGGTTTTTGACTGAAAGGCACACTATTTCAAAATAAAGGATCAGAAGATGGTGTTGAAAGAGTTCCCCTATAATCATTTTAGGATCATTTGTCAGTACTTCTTTTGAACACTGAAAAACCTAATCTTCTTAAGCAAATCATTCTTTCAGCGACTTTAAGGTGAAAGAGCTAATTATGTGTGCCCATAGGTTAAATTCCTGGAGTAGAAATGTTCTACCAGGGAATTCAGGTTAGCTGTTAGAGTGTTTATATGATAAACATCCTTTTTACTTAATTTTATTTATTTGTAATTCATTCTCTTAATCCTAGCAGCTATTTTGCAGGGTTGTGTACAAGAAAAGCTGAATTTAGGGAGTTTTGTATGACTGCTAAACTCAGCTTCCTAGGTATTATCTATATAAGCAAAACATCTGCACCCCCGCATTTAGGAAAGAAGATTATCATTATGCACTGATCTGAATTTAGGGAAAAGATTCATGTGTTAGTCATCTCTCATTTTAGTAAGCACTTCTATTGGTACCATCCTTTTCTGATAATCCTTAAAGCAATTTGCTGGTACTAATGAAGAGGGGTTCCTGATTCTATTCTTAACGAAAGGGGTTTTAAGTTCAGTGACCAGTTGATTTTTTTTTTCAGCACAGATGATAGATAATTGGGAGTTTGAATGGGAGAAATGCAAATGTTCTTAATCTGTGAAATCCTGTGACTTTTAATGCCCTACAAATTTGACAACTAGTATGATCCTCAATGAGAATGTACAAATTTTCAGATCTTTCAGAGGGAGACAGCTTAAAATTACATTCCTATCATGAAGGCAGTTCAGAAGCCAGGTAGATGTGTGATTATTGGCCCAGCTCACTCATTAAAACTCCATTAACTCCTCACTTTGTGGCAGTTCCTGACAGCTGGTAGTTTGACCTCCTACACCCTGCTGATGAGGACAAAACTCCTTTCTCTTGCAGAACTTCTGCCTGCAATGGGTACTCAAGGAAACAAGCTGAGAAACTGTTAACACCTTCTTTCAATCTGAGGTCGGGTCTTGCAGCACATTGGTTCAGGTCTAGATTCCTTCTGGAGGAAATTAGAAAGTGGGCTCCATCTGCAGGCCAAGCATATTAATGTCCACATTTGGAGAGTCTCAAATCCTACACATGGGTATGTTCTTTTGAGTATGTTTCAATGCTCCAATATGTTCATCTGTTTCTGTCACACCGTAAAGCTTTCTCGTGTAGACATCGTCTGGGAATGTTGTCTTTGCAAGGAAGGCAGAATCAATGAAGTCAGATGTTCACACCATCTGAAGCTACTTTATTCTGCTTAGTAGAAGTCAGTCTTTTATATTACAGCAGTTTAAATGTATTTTCAGTGTATATTAAAGTTCTTCCTGCTTAGAACAATAAGGTTTTTAATGACCTTTATAAGTAACTGATTTAAATAATTGATTCCGTCTTCCAGAATGTTCCTGTACTTAACTTAAAACTGCTTCCTTCTGACTTCATTTGATCATCCTTGGCTCCTACACTTCAATTCAAATACATTTCAATTCAAAGGAGTTCATCCCTATCTATCCCCTTGCTATCCAGCTGTATGTGTATGAGTACATCTGGATATTCTTCCCAAATATATCTCCTAGATGAGGTGCTTAGCACAACTGTGCAGCCATGCAGTCTCTGCTCCTATGGAGGCTACTTCATACTTACAGTGTTTGTTGTCCTTCTGTTAGCTTTTACTGGTTTTTAGGATACACTTTTGAGATGGGTGACCTAGAACAGCACATAGTTAAGGATATATTTTATTCAATCCTAATTTTTCTCCTAAAGGTGTGATAAAATTTGCCAAAACACATGAAGTTGCTCCTTGGAGCAAGGGGAACACCTTCAATCCACCCTCAGCACATGTTGAAATGACTGGGGAAGGCAATACCTACCTTCACCCTAACCTGCCAGTGGATACATCAGATGCTGTGTTAAGCCAGGCAGTTTGGTCAGGTCACCTAGCATCTTCCCTAGGATACATAGCTCGGATGACAGCTATCCCACAAAGGCGGCTAAAAAGGCATGGGGTTTTTTTTTCTGCAGGAAAGAAGTTTCTGGAAGAAGACATGAAGTCTTTCTTCTAGGAGTCAGAATGTGCTTCAGATTCAGCACTGAACTTCCCTGGGTCCTGAGGGCCTGCAACTCTGATTAGTCCTGACACTCCCTGTGCCAGATTCCCCCTTTCCTGCTCATGGAGTTCTGCCTGGGGCTGGGCCTGGCCCAGTGCCCCCTGTCCCACCCTATCTCTGGCAGTGGAACAGGCTCTGGCCATGGCATGGTTGCCTGACAGACAAAAGATTTTCTCCTTCATAAAACTCAAGTTTCAACATGCATAATTTATGATACATGCTGCAACCCTGCCATATAATTAATCCCAACACTTTTCTTCTGTAAAGCCACTTTCTTTTACACCTTGCAAGTAATGCTTTTTAGCTAAATGATTGCCAAATTATTAAACTGTGTTACTTAAACAATCCCGAAAAACTACAGGGCAGAGTTCACCATCTCACCCTGTCCATAAGCCCTAAATCTTTGCTAGACACCTGATACAGATAGTACTTATCTCCTACCGGCATGTCCAAGGCAAAGAGTAGTTTTCTGTTTCACAACATTTTCACATAAAAGCACACTCAGACATTTCAGTAATGCCTCAAGCAGCCCATCAGTTGCTTATTGTCCCAGAATGATTTATGATATAATGTTACTGTGGATGAACTCTTGTCTATTTGTTTTTCCCAAGAGGAAAAAACAATATACTCCATCTAATTATATCTATCTCTTAGAGATTGAGAGTCCTCTACCTCTCCCGTACTCCGAGAGCTTCTCACAGCAAAGCTAGGGACGTACATCTTGGGATGTGTGGAGCAAAATTAAATTTTCCAGATAAAAAGAAACCTTTGGGCTGGATGCTTTCAACAACTATTTTAAGAGAAGTGTGAAGGAGAGATGATTTTGGAGGATGGGATGACTGCTGTATGAGAAGGAGTTATTGATAAGATTGATACTCTGTGGAGTG